GCGATCAGGAAGGGTCGGCACACGAGCGAAGTAAGAGGTGAGTAGAGTAGGAGTTGGGCGACCCGACGGGCTGGTGCCGAACGCACGGGATTGACGTGGGCCACGACGAACTGTGGGCATGGGCGAATCCGACGGCTGCGGGAGGACTAAGCGGGGTGACAACTTCATGGGTTGGTGCGTGACGACGGACTGTCCGCATCGGAGAGAGAGAGAGAAAGGAGAGAGTTGAGGTTGATAGACGCGGATTTGCTGTTTTCTTGTCTCTTCCCCATCTTCACCTGTGTACATACATTTTGATTGTGGCTCCGGGCGGTTTGCCCGTTCTTATTTCCGTTTCGGCTTTCTGAAATCTGGGCTTGGGTTTTTGCTCACACTTGTCTTTGCTTATCCGTCCCAATTGCATTATGCGTATGATTATCGAATGAATGGATGTATGAATGTGTGGATGTGTGGACGTTATGCCTGCTTGTATATCTTTTTGCTAAGAACCCCTGTCCTTGCTTCTTGTTTGTAACAAATCTTTGCCCACACCTGATGCAGCTGTAGACGGGACGAGGATCAGGCACCGATAGCGATTTTGTCCTCGTTTTTGCTTATCTCGCAATGGGGGTTGTGATATGGTTGCATCTTGCTTAATCCGAAGCAATTACACGATCCTAGCTCTGGCTCCGCGAACGCCGCGCGAGAACACGTGTAAACGCGATCCAAGTCGCGCTCTTACACGCATTCCCGTACGTCGATTCGCCCACCCAAAAAGATTTGCGGCGGAACCGTCATCCCGTACGAGCACGCTGAGGCGTCACTGAGTCTGCCTGTCCTATACGTGCTCGTGCGCGGTGACGATATCCCGACCCGAGCTATCCCATCGACGATGATACCATGACGCGATCTTGGAGCTCAGACTTGTCCTACGACCCGAACTATTTCACCCCTATGATAAACGAGGTCATAAGGACGCGATACCCCTGTCACACGGAGAATCGGCTATGTCCGCGGGAATTCCACTGTGCCACCTCTAGCGACCCTCGGTGCTCCGATTTCCCTTCTCCCGACCACACCTACTACTTCACCCACCCGGGATTTGTTGTCATCACCACCAGTTTCCCTCCTTTGCACTTTCTTCTCCCGTATCATCAACTCAGTGTTGTTCTATGGCCGGCAATAGCCCCCTACGTTTGCGTGAACTGCCGACGTAGCGGCGAACAGAGAACTTTGGAATTCCGAAGGACCAACCCAGGTACGCGGCGCCCTGCGCCACGTGGCGGCCCCCGACGGCCCAACTTTTCGGGACCATCTCCACCACGGAGGGATTTTCCCGTAACCCGTCGCCCACAATGTCCCGGCCCCTTTGGACTGTGAGACCCTTGCGCGCGCACCCGTCATTCGCCTAATTGCATTCATACCCTTAAGACTCCCCCACTTCCCCAAAAATCCTTGGCACACCCCTTTTCGCACTTCCAGGCCCACATCCCACTCCGATCAGGAAGTCGCGCTGGGCTTGAGGTTGGGCGTCAGAGCGCTTCCGTATGCTTGTGCAACGGACGAGGAGACTGGTCGGACGTTTGGTGAAGGAACCAATGCTGAGGCGCCATAGCTAGGGCTAGCAACGTAGTCAATAGGGTTAGAAAGGCGAGTGTGAGAGTGAGCTATCGAAGTGAGGGGGGGGGGGAG